CAGGCTCCCCATAGCCCCCCTGCCCAGCCGCTCTGCTCTGCATTTAGGGCTTGGCAGGCTCCGGAGCCTGGGCGGTGAGCCTGCGCCTCCCCTCCTCCTGCCCGCTCGCCTCCCCGCCAGAGAACAGCCCCGACACCCCGGGGATGGCCGCGGCGCAGGGATGGTTCCTATTAACAAACATCTGCTGCACGCTGCGGGGTTTTGGGGGCTGCTCGGCTGCATCCAGCCAGCCGAGCTGGGCTTGCTGTCTGCTCTTGCAGAGGACCCCCCCTGTGCCCTGTACCAGCCCTTGGTGGGCTTTTCCCAGCTCCACTGGTACATCCCACTTTCCCCATGAGGAAGGGTCCCGACACAGCCGACCGGGAGTCCTGGCATCACCCACCAGTGTTTTGCCCCACGCCGAGGCGTGGTGGGGGGGCTCACAGCTCCCCACACCCCCAGAGCTGGGTGCACCGAGCCCCACAGCGTAGGCTGGTGCTGGGAAATCGCTCCCTCCTGTCACCATTTCACCTGCTCCATCCCAGCTGGGGCAGCATTAACTCTCTTGCACCCTCAGCTGCAGCAAGAGCAGCTCTAAAGCCTCCCGGCCTCCTGCCCGCTGCTGTTCTGGGACGGCTGGGTGGGGGGTGGCACCCATGCGGTGTGCTGGTAGCTGTGGGGGTCCTCGGGCTTTGCTCAGGGACATGCCCCAGCCACGGTTTGTGGTTTGCAAGAGCTGAAAAGCCGTGACTGTCCTGGGCTGTGGAAGGGCAGGGGGGAGCCAGGAGGGTTGTCCTGCTCTCGACAAACTTCAGCTTTGGGGAGGGGGAAGAAAAACAGCATTGAGTGAAAGTTTTGTTCTTCGGTTATTGTGTTTATTCCCTTCTCTTGCTCCTTGGCTTTATGGAAAAAGGAAGAGGAGGTTTAGAGGGTTTTTCTTTGATGTTTACCCTGAGGAAAAACACCGACTCTTCTCCCCCATGGTTCTCACGGGAGGTCTGGGGGACGCCCCCACTCCTGAGCTGCTCAAGCCCTGGAGCGTGTCCACTGGGTTGGCCGTGGAGGATTCCGTGTCCCTGCCCACCCCCGGACACTAATGACTGTGAAATAGCCCAGCTGGTGCAGGGAGAGCAGCGTCTGCTCCAGGCTGGTGAAGCCGGCGTTGAACCCAGGTTGAAGGCTCCCAGAGTGGCCCCCGAGTCTGTTGCAGCCCCCCCTGCCACCAAACTGGGGTGACCGGGGGGGTGAAACCCCCACATTGCAGAGGACGGTGCCTCTGGCGCAGTCGCGGGTGGACTCTGGTGTCCAGCGTGCCCTGGAGCCGCCTTTCCTGCCCTTGCCACGCCGTCCCTTGGGGCTACCATCCCCAAAAGGGGCCACAGCTTTGGCTGGCAGGTCCCCTTTCTCCACGGTGGCCTCGCCACGGGGGTGAGCATCGGCTTTGTCGCGCGGCGGCAGGCTGGCACGTACCCGCAGGCTGTTGGGGGACCTTGACGGTGACTGAGGAGCGGGCGAGTGGCTGCGGAGGGGACGTGGGGACGGCCAGCGCCCGTGGGTTTGCCGGCACAAGGCGGGTGCTGTGGTGGGCAGGTTTCTCCGCGCACGCCTGGCTCGCCCCGTGGCTGATCCCTAAAGGGGTGGATGTAGGTGTTCGGGAGCGGTAATGCCACCGCGTTGGCACATCCTCTGCCCGTGCTGGGGACGTGGTTCCCGTCCCTGGCTGCTCCCTGCCACCCTCCGGGCAGGGACCGCTTGTGCCAGCCCGAGGAACAGCGGGAGCATCCCCGAGGCGGGCACTGGTGCTTGACCTCAGCTCATCCCAGCCTGACCGACTGGCATAGCCGTGACTTCAGGGCACTGGTTTTCGGGAGGAGCAGGAGAATGATGCAACGGCCGGGAGGGGCCAAGCCGAGCAGCACCGCGGGCTGGCTGGGGGGACGGGCAGTGTCCCGAGGTGGTCCCGGGGTGCTGGTGGAGCGGGGATGCGGCGTGATGGAGGCCAGCTGGCTCGCTGTGCTCTGTTTCCTTCTTTGGAGGTTTCTCTGAAATGTCAGCGCTGCCTTCCCGCCCTCCCCAGGCATTATCATAACAGTCCTTGATGTATTTGCATTCGCTTTCCAAAGTGTCCTGCCCAGGCAGAGGGTGGGACACCCCGAATCCTGCTCCCAGGGCTCCCCACTCCGGGGTGTGAAGGGCTCCCTGGGCTTTTGGGGGTGCTGGAGCCCCGTTGCTGGATGCCCTGCGGGGTTCTGTCCGTCCCTCCCACACCCCCAGCAGCTGCTGGGTGCTTGTGCCTGGTCCTGCTCCCCGGGATTTTTTCTTGGCGTGACCTGGGGAAGGGACAGCGGTGTGGGGAGAGCCGGGGGGCGGGGGGGAACGGGGATGGTTTGGGGACAGAAGCAGGGGGAAGGGATGCAGCCAGTGAATCCAGGGCAGCAGCAGAGCTCATCTCAGCGTGGCTGCTTCCCTCGCCGCGACACCCCCCCGCTCCCCCCCTTCCTCCTCCTCGTCCTTTCCAGGCGGCAGCCCCCCACGCACCGCTGCCCAGCTGGGGTGGTGGGGGGGGGGGGGCCCGGCAGCCCCCCGTCCTGCCCCTCTCGCCCTTCGCCTGCCGCCAGCTGCTCCCCAACGCTGCACCTGGGCTGGGGGGGGGGGGGGGGGGGGCGGGGGGAGGCGGCGTGTGCAGCGCTGCCCTTCGCCTCTCCTCTGCGCGGGGACGCGAGCGGGAGCTGTTTGTCCCCGTCGCTTGCCGCACACCGGGGCTCGCCAACCCCGGCTGCACCGGAGCCCGCAGCAGCTCCGTTACCGCTGTCACCGGGAACGCCAATGCCACCGGCTCAGGGCTCGGGATTTCGGGACGTCGGGGAGAGGATAACGAGACCCTGCGCCCATCGTCGGCCTCCCCCTGCCCACGCGGGGCTGCTGGCCCCGTGGCACGTGCCATCGCCTCGTAGCGTGGCGGCTGACGGCACGGGGCTGGCCGTGCCCCACCGCTGCCATGGGGGGAGCCGGGAGCCGGCGGTGAGCTCGGGGGGGCTCCCGGCATCATGCTGAAGTTTCGGGCAGACCGGAGGGTGAGGTAGGACCCCAGGGTGGGTTCTGGGGATCTGAGTGGGGGGCGGACCGTGGGCAGGCGGTGGTGGGGGACCCTCAGCCCGGGCAGTGGCTGCTGCATTGCAGTGCTTGGGAGGCGATGTGAACTCGGGAGTTTCTGGAGCGGGGTCAGCCGAGGGAGCTGCTGCCGGGGGTGGGGTGGGGGGGGGGATGGTTTAAGGAGGTTTTCCTGACCGTTCCTGGGGTCTTACCATATCTGGGGGTGTGGGCAGACTTGGGGCGGGGGGGGGGAGGCACTGGGCTGAATGCCAGGAGGAGGAGCAGGGGCTTCAAAGCAGAGTGGGTGTCGTGGGCTTGGCAGCAGGGCGGGGGGAGAGTCCAGTCTGTGGGAACAGAACCCTGCGGCGTGGGGGGGATGTCCCCGGATGGGGTTCAGACACGCTGGCAGGTCCCGGCAGCCCCCACTTTCCAGAGCTGGGGCAGTCGGGGTGCTGCTCCCTCGGCGTTTGCACCCTCCCCGTGTGTCAGCATCTCGGGGGGGGCCTGGGACCTGCCGCGGTTACACTGTGTTACACCCCTCCAAAGTCACCTGCTGGGGACAAACGACCCGGGAGCAGCTCCAGCCCCGGGTGGCAGAAACCCCCTTTGCTGCTGTTGGAGCGTGGGCCAGGCAGGCTGTTTCCGCAGATAACTCACGCTGGTCGTGGCACAGAAAAGCCTGGTGGGTGCTTGGCGGGGTTTGGCTGCCCCTCGTTGTGGGATGCATGCACATTGCCCAGGTTTTTAAGGTGACCCTAAGTGAGGGGGAGGGCTCGTGGAGGAGAACGTATCCTTGGCAGGGTGCAGGATGGGACCTGCAAGGGGGAGCAGCTCTCAGCAGGGCTTTTTTGGGTAGAAAGCAGTTAATATCTTCAGAGCTTGGCTGGAGCCCAGGTTCAGGGTGAAGTGTGTGTGGATGGGATGGTCTTGGCAGCTGCATTTTCTTGCTCAAACTTCCCCTGTTTTGCTGACACGCAGAAGTTCAGCAGTGTGCCGGGCTGTTGGCATGTTGGCTTCGCGGGTGGCCAGGGGCACCCATGGCTGGGTGCCCAGCAGCTTTGGGAAGGAGGGATGTCACAGGGACAGGGACACAAACTTCCTGGGATGGAGCCCTGAATCTGTGGGTGCACCCTTGTCCTTTCCTCCTGACACAGCTCCAGCAGCGAGGATCCCCGGGAAATAGCGTGTGAGCGGGTTCCTCAGCTGGAGCAACGTGATTTTGGGGTGCCCGGCAATACCGGCTCTGCGGGACGGGGCAGGGATGTGGGAAATGCTGCCAGTGGAGCCTGGCGGGAGCCCTGCCTTGCTCCTCCCGGCACTGCCAGGGAGCCCTGAACTGCCTGGGGCACCCCAAGAAGCAGCACCGGGATTGGGGCTGAGGTGGGCCTGATCCGGCTGCAACAGCTTGTGCTGGTGGGTCCTGGGCTGATGTTTGGTCCTGCGTGGCCAGGTGCCCCTGCTCTTAGCCTGACTCGAGGTGTTTTGGCAAAGGGCTGTAAAATCAGCAAGCCGACGGGGAGGATGTGACATTGGGGACGTCGCTGCAGGCACAGCCCAGGATGGGCCATTGCTGCTGCTGCTTCTGCAGCGACTTCTGAGTGGGGTTTATGATAATGTCTGGGATGTGACCAGCAAAAGGAACGAGGGCTCGGCCACCAGAGACCTCGTTTGGGCTCCCAGCAAGACAAGCGCTTTCTGGGAAGCACCGGTGCAATGCGCTGAGTGGCTCTGAAGCGTGGGGTTAGCGGGGATGTCGGGGAGGGTGATGCTCGGGGCAGGGCACAGGGAGCCAGCCCCAGCACCGGTGCAGGTGTGGGACAGGGAGACACCGGGGTTTGGAGCAGCAAACGTGGTTCTAAAAGGTTTCTGAGGGAGGGGGGGACGGGGATGGGAGATGCTGACCACCGCCCCACCGCTGTCTCTCGCAGCCACAATGAAAGGCGGAACACGTTCCTGCACCCAGTGACGGGACAGGTCCCCGAGGACAACTCAAGACTTGACTTGCAAAAGTAGGTCGGCTCCCGATTCCCCTGGTTTTGGGGTCTGGCAGTGGGTCGCGATGGGGGGACCAAGGCGGGCTGGGACGGGAGGAGGATACCCGGATTCCTGCGGGGTGGAGAAACGCAGTTCTGCTGACTCGGCTCTCCTCCTGTGCCGGCAGACCGACCTTGGACATGTCAAGCAAAGCGGGCAGCAAGCGACCGGCGCCCATCACCAGCGAGCCCTCCAACCACGCCATGGTGTCGGAGGTGCCCCCGGAGCGCCCCGGAGGCCGGGTGGGTGCCCGGAACCGTGCGACACGACAAGCGACAGCGGAGATGGGGTGCCGGGGGTCCCCCCGGGGACTGAGCGGCTCCTCTCCCCCTCTGCAGGCTTCGCGCTCCTCCCGCAAAGGCATCGCCTTCGGGAAGCGCTCCAATTCCATGAAGAGGAACCCCAACGCTGCCGTGACCAAAAGCGGCTGGCTCTACAAGCAGGTACCCGAGTCCCTGCCGTGCCGGGTGCCCCCCCTCGGGGCTGTGCCACCCCCTTTTCCGGCTGCCTGGGGGGTGGGTGCTGCCCTCACTGCCCCTCTCTCGCAGGCCAGCTCGGGGGTGAAGCAGTGGAACAAGCGCTGGTTCGTGCTGGTGGATCGCTGCCTCTTCTACTACAAAGGTACGCGGCAGTGCGCACCCACCCCGGGTGCCCCCCCACGAAAGCTCGTGGCCCCCCCAGAACAACCCGGTGGCCACCAGCTGCGTGCCTCCACGCAAACCCGGGCTGTTAGGAAGCTCGGAGCGGGTTTTCCCAGCATGGGCGAAGGGGTGGGGAGGTGACAGCGTGCCGGGGGGGCAGTGGCCCTGCACAGCACCCTTTTGTGCGGGTGTTGGCTACAGCGGGGACCCAAGGGGTTAACGCAGGCGCCTTCCCCAGCCTCCCCTGGCAGCTCGCTGGGCTCAGCCCTGGCAGCGCAGCCCAGGGCGGGCATGAATAATTGAGCAGGCTGTTGTGCGAGCCCAGCAGAGCTGGGGAGCAACAGGCAGGCAGCGGTTTCCCACAGGTGGCCTGTCCACCCCTGAGAAGAAGCGATGGGGCCGGGTCCCTGCAGCAGCTCGTGGGTGTTTGGTGGGGGGCAGCCGGGGTTCCCAGCCCCTCCATGCCTGTAACCCCCACGTTTGCCCACCAGATGAGAAGGAGGAGAGCATCCTGGGCAGCATCCCCCTCCTCAGCTTCCGCGTGGCAGCCGTGCAGCCCTCTGACAACATCAGCAGGAAGCACACGTTCAAGGTCAGTGCATGGTTGTGCCGGGGCTTGGAGGGGACGGAGCACTGGGGGACAGCACCGGGGCCCTGGTGATGCTCAAAACATCCCCGCTGTTCCCTTTTCTTGCTTTCTCGGTGATGGGGTGTGGAGCAAGCTGGGGAGAGGGGTGAACACAGTAACCGCCCCCCCCCTCTGGGGATCTGCTGCACCATGCAGATGTGCCTTCTACTGGGGAAACTGAGGCACGCGTGGCGGCAAAGCAGCATCTCCCAAGGTCATCGCCCCCCTCCCAGGCCTGAGCTGCTCCCGGCTTCTGCCCCTTGGGGTGCACTGCTGCCCCCCAACCCGGGTGCAGGCCCTCTCCCTGCCCTGCTTTCCCCTCCGCATCGCTGCTCCCAGCCAGCCTGTCCCCACCGGCTGCTGTGGCGCTTCTCGGCAACGCTCCCGGAGCCAGACTTAGAGAGGTGTCGCCAGCTCCAATTTTTTTTTTTTATTTTTATTTATTTTTTTTTTTTTAGCCTGCTTTGACTGGCGTGCGAAGGGAAGGGAGATGTAATTGCAAGGGGGTAGCTCGGAATGAGTCGCTCCTTGTCAGCCCGCGCTGCCGTGGGTGCTGGAGAGGAGAGCAGCAAGAGGCGGAGGGCGGCTGCCTCGGCTCCCCCCTCGCTCAGAGCAGGGGCTGAGCTTCCCTGGCACCGCCCGGCACTCGTCGGCATCCCCGTGCACCTTTGGCATCCCCCGTGCACCTTCACCGCTTTGTGCCACCCCCGGTCGCGTTAGCACTCGCTTGGTGACGGACCGATGCGCCGGCTGGCTTGCACTCGTGCACGCTTGTGCAAAAACCCAGCGTGCACCTTACCGCCCGTGAGCGTGGCAGGAGCCGGTGCCTGGGGTCCCCGCAGGACGCTGTGGAGGAGTTTTTTCCGATCAAAGGGATGGATTTTTATAGCTTCCATCCTTAAACCTGCATTTAATCTGCGGCTGAGCGTGGTTTAGGTGTTTCTGCCTGCAGCTTCTGCAGGTGAGAGCAGAGAAGTGGCCCAGGGGGTGTCGAAATGTCTCTCTCTGTGGGGAAGGAGCCTTGCCAAGCTGCTGCCCGTGACCTGAGCTCTGCAGGTGCATACCTGCCTTTCCATCTGCACGCGAGGGTTTTGGGGGGGATGGTTTTGTTCAGAGAAGGGTAGGAAGGGTCCCGATGGCCGGGAGAGGTCTGTGCCGCGGCGCCCGCGCTCCTGCCACGCTGCAGCTTGACCCCGTGTCTGTGTTTCCTCCTCTCTCCGTGGGCGAGGATCCCCGGACAAATCTCTCTTCGTGCCCGTCCACCACGCCAGCACCCAGCCACCACCTAGGTAGTACCTTCTTGTGTTTCTGATGCATGCAGGAGGGTGAGGGACCCGCAGGCTTGCCGGCATGCTCCGCTCACCCCACTCGCACTAATCCAGGGAGTGAATCGGTTTGGTTTGATCTTTCGCTCTGGCTGCAGAGCTTTTAGAGGCAGGAGTGCATGGGGGGGTTGCAGGACGTGACCCTGCGGCTGGACACGGTGGCTGCATGCTCTGGGGAAGGGGAAGATGGAAACCCAGGGGAGGGTTTTAATTAGACCCCAAATTTTGTATTTTATTTTATTTTATTAAGAGATTGAGCCCTTAAAGTCTTTCAGGGGGAAAAAACCTCCTGCTTTCTCCTTTTTCTTCCTCCTTGCTGCCTCCTGTCCCTTTCCATAGAGGGGGAAGGTGGGAGCTTCAAAAAGGCCCTAAATAGCCAGACCTGCCTTCCAGCACCTTCCAGGTGGAGAATGGGCACCAGCATCTTGGATGAAAAGCAAACCTTTTTCCCCAAAAATGTTGTCCGGGCCAAGATGCCACCTTCCCCCTAACCCTGCATGAATCATAACGCTCCCTCCAGCACTGCCACTCTCGCTGGGACGCGGACCCTTCACCAGCCCTGAGGGGACCCACTCAATAATGGGGTGCAGCAACCTCTGCACCGGGGTGCTGCTCCTCTGGTGCAGGGCCCTGGGGATGGCTGGTCCCAAACATCGCTGGGGGTGACCACGAGGGACTCGTGGTCCCGGGGATCCCCTGCGAGGGGACGAGGGCTGGCGCTGGCCCTGCCAGCTCAGTGCCGCTGAGGATGCACGTGGCTGTGAGGCTCGGGCAGAGGGGGAAGGACTGTGCCTGGTTTTTCCTACAGCGGCAGAACCTCGTGCCGGGGTGGAAATAGAGCTCTCACCCTCCTGTCTGTCTCTCTCCCCACTTCTTTGCCTCCCTGCAGGTGACGGTGTGCTGGGTGGAGGAGATGCCGGCGAGTAACGAGCAGTCCCTGTCTCCCCAGGCCGAGCACGCTGGCATCCGGACCTACTTCTTCAGCGCCGAGAACACGGAGGAGCAGGAGTCCTGGATCCAAGCCATGGGCGAAGCCGCCCGGGTGCAGATCCCCCCGACCCAGAGGTCAGCACCCACCATCTCCCCACGCCAACCCTCTCTTGGAGATGAGGCGGAGGGGACGTGCATTGTAGCTTGGGGACCTGGCCTCTGGAGAACAGAGCTGGGGGAGCACCGGTCCCCCGAGGCGGAGGGAGGGATAGGATGCTACCGGCCACCCCAGGGGCATTGCAAAGGGAAGGTAACCCTCTCTGCTGTCTTGGCTCCCCCCCAGGCATGAGAAGCCAGACTCTGAAAACATCCCCCCCAGCAAACACCACCACCACCACTGCAACGCCGCCCACCGCGAGCACCCCAAAGCTGACCCCGATGCCAAGACCCGGGGGGAAGGCGACGGCCGTGGCTCCGAGAAGATCGAGAGGAAGTCGGAGAGGATGGAGGGCAAGAAGGAGCCCTTGGCCAAAGCCAACGGCATCGCCGGGCAGGAGGTGCCCTCGGAGCCTGGCAGTCCTTACCCCGAGGCACCCCGGGTACCGGCGAGCGGGGAGCGGCCGCCGCAGCCCAACGGCTGGCCGTACTCGTCGCCCAGCCGCCCCGGCAGCACCGCGTACCCCCCACCCGACGGGGAGAGCGTGACCCTCCGCCGGGGCTTTGCCCCCCGCACCAACCCTGACAAGATCGCCCAGCGCAAGAGCTCGATGACGCAGCTGCAGCAGTGGGTCAACTCGCGCCGGGGGGCCGTGCCCCCCGAGGAGCTGCGGAGGTGAGGGGTGCGGGATCTTGCTCCTTTTCTCCAGGGCTGCCCCTCAGGTGATGCTCTGGGAATGTTTTTTTGCCCTTCCCATCTGGTTTCTCCCCTCCTGGGGTCAGAAAAATCTGCCTGTGCTGCCTGCATGTGCCAGCTCTGAGCTGTGTGTGGGACACCCCAAAAAGCCAAAGCGGGGTGGATTTTGGAGGGGAGGCCACCCCGGGGTCCCTGGAAGGGGGGATGCCAGGAGGGGAGGTCACCACGGGGTCCCTGGGAGGGGGGATGCCAGGAGGGGAGGCCACCCCAGGGTCCCTGCGGGGGAGGGATGCCAGCCAGCCAGCTCTCTGGATCCTGGTGTCGGAGCTGCCTGCTCTAGGGCTGTCCTTGCTCCCTGGGACCCCCAGATGCGAAGCGAGGGGCCGGGCACCACCTGGCCACCAGCCTGGCTCTCACAGCTCTCTTCCTCTCTTTAGCCCCACCAGGTTTTACCCCGTGTCTCGCCGGGTGCCCGACTACTATTCCCCCTACTCGCCCCAGTACCCTGAGGACTACCAGTACTACCCGCCCGGGGTGCGCCCCGACAGCATCTGCTCCATGCCCGCCTACGAGCGGGTGAGCCCGCCCTGGGCGCTGGAGGACAAGCGCCATTCCTTCCGCAACGGGGGCACCTACCAGCTCCGTGACTGGAAGGAACACCCCAGTTTTGGCCGGCAAGACGTCCCGCTCTGGCTTCCCGGGCCTGGGAGGCAGCCGACCTACTTGGACGAGGTGGATGCAGCCTCGGGCTCTCTGCAACGGATGTCGCTGCAGCCCCGCTCCCGCTCCGTGCCCCGCTCGCCCAGCCAGGGCTCCTACAGCCGGGCACGGGTCTACTCCCCGGTCCGCTCGCCCAGCGCCCGCTTCGAGCGGCTGCCGCCCCGGGGAGAGGAGATTTACGCCGACCCCGCCACCTTCATGATGCGGCGATCCATCAGTTCTCCAAAGGTAAACGCCTCTCAGCCCTTGGGGATGCACGGGGTTGGAGGGGGACCCTCGCTGGGGACGTCAGGGTGGGATGCTGTAGCACAGCTCGTCGGCTCCGCATGCACAGCCTGGCCTCAAAATGCCACCAAGTCCGTGGCTTGCAGCAGCTTTAGGTCCCCCCTTGGTGTCCCGCAAAGCTGCCCAGGTTGTGATTGTTCCCTCCTGGCTGCCTGGGGAGGTGGGGCGGTGGGGGGATGGGATGGGGCTGGGGTGCTCGGGGCCACCACGGGTGATGTGCTCCCGAGCAGGGAGTACTGGTGTCCCTGTTTTGCTGCTGCATGCCCCAAAGCCAGGCCTGACCCTGCCTGTGCTTTCTGGCCTCTCGCACACCTCTCACGTGTCTCTGGTTTTGGGGTGGGGGGGGTGGGGGTTCTCCTCTCTTCTCAGTACGACTATCTGGGTGACAGACGGCCCGTCCCTGCCGGAATGTACCCGTACCACTACCCAGCATCCCCCACCGTCCATGACAAAATGGTATGTATGCTGCTGGCACTGGGGCGGGGGGTGTGAACCTCGGAGAACTGGGGAGCACAGAGCCCCCCCGGGAAGGTGGACTGGCTCGGGGGCTCCTTGCTCGGACAGCTGAGGAGGAACCGCTCCACTCCAGGGGCAGCTTTGTGGGTCAGAGCTGGGCTGCTCTGGGGCAGGATGGGACCACAGGTCCTTTTACTGGTGTCACTGGTCCCTCTCAGCTCTGCCCAAAGGAAACCCTCGTGAAAAGGCCCCCAGTTCCTGCCCTGCAGCCCCCAGGTTGCAGGGGCGGTGGGACACCCTTGGACCCCCATACACCCCATGATGCTGGGCCAGGCTCATCACCCCCAGGGTGGTCCCTGGCTGAGGCTGGCGCATCCCCTGCACCTCTCCCCCTCTTGCTTTCCTCACCTCTGGCTACAGCTGCTGCTTTTTCCTGCGTTTTGTTTCCCCTTGGAGCACTGAGGGGTTGGAGCCGGTGGGGTGAGACCGGGAGTTCCCCCCGCAGAGCACAGCCCCCAAACTGCGGGGCAGGACTGGCCGTTGGAGGAGGGAGAAGCACGAGTTACCATAAACCACTCATGCTGCCATCCATCCTCGCTAGCCAGCGATGCAGGGAGAGGGCCATGCCTTTCCCCAGGCACCGTTAGCTGGGAGGGAGAGCCGGGAGGAGCACAGGTCTCCCGCAGGACACGTCCACGGCAGCAGCTCTCCCGGCTCTGTGCCAGGGAGCTGCCTCGCTTCCCCGGCCAAGAAGTCTTCGCATTTCCGTCGCCTCCACCTAACCGCTTTGCTTCTTCTTTTATATGTTTTGTGTGTTCGTTTCTTGCCGCATGCCTGCTGGCTCCTGGTAGGATGAACTTTTAGACCTTCAGTTGCAAAGAAACCTAGAGTATTTGGACCAGCAGGTAGGCAGAGCTGGCTGCAAGCCTCACGCTGCTTACGTCCCCGTGTGCCCTGTCCCCAGCAGCATCCCCTTCCCTCCCAGCGCAGCATCTCGTCCCCTAACGGCCATCCTCACCCTTCTTGGCATTAAAGCAGCACGAGTTGTCTTTGGTTTGCTTCTTCCATCCTTCCCGTCTGTAGGGTCGCTCATTGCTTGGCAGAAAAATCCCCCCGACAGTGCCTTCTGTGTGGTGTGATGGAGCTGGTGGGGGGGGTTTGGGGGGAAGCCGGGGCAGCTTCCCACATACCCGGGGCCTCGGGGAGCTGCCCCTGGGGTGCAGGGGAGGCAGCCGGCTCTGAAACCCTCCCCGGGTCGGTCTGCACCGTGCTGGCTCGGGGCAGTGAGGGACACCGGTGCACGGTGCCGGCGTGACCGTGCTGGACAGTGTGTCCCCACACCCAGCAGTGCCTCCGGCATCGGAGCCAGACTGCTACAGGGGTCCCCGGGCTGGTGCCACCCACATCGGGGGTGGCTGGGTGAGCCGTGGGGAGCCGGATGGGTGCAAGGTGGTTTCGGTGAGGCGCTGGCCCTGATCCTCCTCGAAGGATTCAGGGTGGGCATGAGGTACCCGCCAGCATTGATACCAAAGCAGCAGCTCTCAGGTTTTTGCATGCCAGGGGGTGTTTGGAGGAAAGTTGTGAACTGACTTCGTCCCAGGAGTGGGGGAGAGACCCCCGGGACCGATGGAGTGGGAACCGCAGGCACTGGCTGAAGTCAGAGCTGGGGACAGGAGCTGTCGGCCAGCGCTGCAGCCCAGGCGCTTGCCTGCAAAACCCAGGCTTGCACTAAGGGAGCTGCTCCAGAGACAATCTCATTAGTCTGCAAATCTCCATCGGTGCAGTAATCGCCAAGATCTGTGTCTGCCTTGGAGCAGAGCCAAGGACAGGCAGGAGCTCTCGCTGCAATAAAAGCTCTCTGGATTATTTCACAGCCATCGGCAGCAATGCGTGCTCTCCGAGGCTCTTTAAAACACTCCCTAAAAGGCTTTGCATCTCCTCCTCCTCTCCCACTGACCTCTAGGGAGGCTAATTCAGAGTGACGCTGTCAAGTATCTCTTTTCAAACAACTTCCTGCTTTATTTCCTCTCTCCTTGCTTGTCCAGTCGCGGGGACGGCTCACGCGGCTGCAACCCCACCTTGCTGACCTGCCCCCAGGCAGAGTTTGGTCCCTGATTTGTGCTTAAACTGCCGTCACCCCTTGGACATCGAGGGTCCTGGTTGTGGGGCGCAAGGGGCTTCCTCTGTATCGCCCGCCCTGGGCTGCGGGCTCCTGCGGCGCGTCTGCGGGCGAAATCAGCGGCGAAGCTCCGGTGCTGCTGGTTTGAGCGGCTCCACCGCGCAGCACCAAGGCCCCAGCAGCAGTGCACGGAGAGCAGCAAAACCCTCCGGGTTGCAGGGGTGTGAAGAGAACCACCCCCCCCCCCCGGGTTGGGGTCTGTCCGTCCCCCTCCCCTGGAGGGCTCGGGGCAGTGCTGGAGCCCCGGGACGGTACCGGGACGCCGAACACCGTCGCATCCTCGCCCTGCCCGGCAGCACGGCTGCAACGTGCCGTCCCCCCAGGAGCACCCCGTTCCCACCCGGCTCCGCTGCTCGAGGCTGCTGGACTGGAGAGGGGGACGCTGCTGTCCCCAGCCTCCGGGTTCAGTTACCTTCCCCTGTGCCCAGAGCTCGTCTGCGCCTTGAGTGGGGCCCTCCCAGCCCCGGCTCTGCCGTGAGGGCAGGGCACCGAGCCGTTTGTCTGTCTGTCTGCTGGGACCACACCGTGCGCTGCAGCCGGGGGCATCTCTGTGCAAGCTTGTGTCTGTGTGTGCAGTTTGCCGCCGCTCAGCTCGGAGCTGGCTCGGTTTTATCTGTGTTTTCCCCTCAACAAAGTTTTCAGGGCATGCAACCAGCCCAGGATGCCCTTGAGTGCACAAAATGGAGCAGCAGCAGCCCCGGGCAGCCATCCCCATGTGGCTTGAGCCCTTGGGACATCTCTTGGAGGTGGCATCTTGCAGCCCGATGCCCTGGGGGCTCCTGGACTGAGCCACCTCGCTGCTCCGACAGCACCCGAGCACCGCAGGCACGTCTCTGCTGACCTCTGGACTTTCCTTCCCTGTCTGCCGCAGATGAGTGAGAGCGAAACCCTGATCAGTATGGTGAACAGGATGGTGGAGACCTCCTCCCCTAGGGCCCAGCTCTACATGCAAGTAAGCCTCCGGCCGCCGGGCCGTGCGTGGCTCATGCATGGCAGCCACGCCAACCGCCCCACGTTCCATCCCCGAGGTCACCTCCTGCCATTTCCACTCATGCGGACTCCAGCATCCATGCGGCTCTGGCACATCATGCTCTTGGGGACCTGCTAGTCCATCACAGGCTTTGCTAATCCATCCATGAACCATTAAAACCCGGTAAATCCTTGTGCTGAGAGCACGAGGTGGGGACGCAGCGGTCCTGCACTCTCGTCCTCGTTTGGGTTGGATTCGGGTGCTTTGCTCACCCTCTGTTTGCCGTCGTGTGTTGATGAGGCAAGGAGAAGGTGTGGGATGACTTACAGACAGGAATCCAGCCCAAGGCTCTTAAACTCCTGTAGCAGGGAGAAGAAACAGCCTTTTACCTTACCCCGGGGAGGGCTTGCAAAAGCATGGGGATGTCCCTGCTGATGTTGGGCTGCAGCTCCAAGCACAGGCAGGTCCTGTCACCTGGGAACGTGTCTCCGAGTCACTGCGACCTGCAGCCCATCGTGCCGCCAGCCCAGAGGGCTCACAGGGTCCCACCGTGCTGCCCAGGGCATCTCCTGGCTGTGCAGCAGCCAGGCGATCGCTGGGGTTTTCTGACGAGGGGAAGGTGCCTGTTTCCATCTTGCTGTGAACGGGGAGCGGGGACATGCTGGAGGGTGAAGCTGGAGCTGCTGAGATGCTCTTGCTGGCCGGGCTCCCTGCCTGGAGGCAGCAGCATCCCCACCTGCCAGGCTCTGCCTCCAGCACACTGGGCATTTCCCAGGTTCAGGTCTATTTGCATTGTCCTATAGTTTTGAATGGCTCTAAAGTAGCGTCTTGCTTTCTAGCAATAATGATCCCCTTCTTCCTATCTTATGCCTTTCATCTCGAGATCTTGGAGGCATTTAATTGTTGAGGTCCCATTAGTAATTTAGATTTCCAGGAAAGGAAAATGACTCACAGAGAAGCCGGATGGTAAACAGGCCCTGATGCAGCTGCTGATTTATAGGTGTTTCCACTCTGCTAAGTGGGATTACAGCTTAATCTTTCTGCCTTTGTTTCCCTGCCTGTGAAATGGTGGCACTTATACGCCAGGCAGTTAATGATTCACGAGGCATCTCTTTAACTCAGCTCTTGGCGTCCTGTGGAGAGGTTGTCTCTGGCTAATTCCCGTGGCTCACCCAGCCGACGGGTGGGAATGGGGAGGGAAGGCTGTGCCTTCACCCGAGCCCCCGGGCAGGGCCGAGGCGAGAGCTCCAGCACCGACATCCCGCCCTGCCGGCAGCACCCGCTGCCTCCCCACCGATGCCGGCGTCTGCCCGGCCGCGGGGAGCACCCGCCGCCTCCGGGGTCTCGGCTCTCACCTTGGGGAGGGGGGCCGGGACCTGCCTCGCCTTCCCCAGGGGTTCCCAGAGCAGGGCTCACCCCACGCTCTGCTTCCAGGTGACACCTTTCCCGGAGGCCTACAGGGAGACACTGCATGCCTACAAGATAAGCGAGCAAGACACCGATGTAAGAGCAAACGTCCACCCTGCATGTCCCCCCTCTGGCCCCTGCTGTTGTCCCCGTCCCTCCGCAGCAGGTCTGCTGTCCCCACAGAGCGAGCTGTGCCGAGCCGGGGTGGGACCTGGTGCTGCCCCGAGTGGGCTGTTTGCTGCTCAGGGACTGAGCTTAGCTGCTTGGTCTTACCCCCCGTGTCCAGATTTGGCCAGTGTCACCCTGGCTGGGGCTGAAAGTCCCTGCAATGAGGGCAGGGGGCTGGAAACCCTCCCCAGGACCACGCGTTGTCCCATCAAGCCAACCCCCTGAGCCATGTCCTGGCTGCGTCTTGTCTCTCCCAGGGGACTTGGCCCTGGCTGAGCACGGAGCCGTTTGCACGGGTGCACCCCGCAGATGCTGGGCTTTCATCCTCTCCTCCTTTTCTCTTTCTTTTCCAGAAGCTGCTGGGGAAGCTCTGTGAGCAGAACAAGGTGCTGCGGGAGCAGGAGAGGCTGGTGCAGCAGCTCCGAGCGGAGAAGGTACGTGGTGGGCAGCTCAAGCAGCCGCCCAGGGGTGAACCCGGCTGCACCTTCGTGGCGAGGAAGCGACATGCCCTCCTCTTGGGGACAGCTCTGGGGATGTCTCTGAGCTGGGGGAAATGCCCTGGCCATGCCACAGTCCCAGGGCTCCCCGTGTGTTAATGGCCTGTTAAAGAGGACTGTGGCTCCTGCACCAGCCAGGCTCTCACGGCTGTATCTCCCCAGGAGAGCCTGGAGAGTGCCCTAATGGGGACGCACCAGGAGCTGGAGATGTTTGGGAGCCAGCCTGCCTACCCGGAGAAGCTGCTGCACAAGAAGGAGTCGCTCCAGAACCAGCTCATCAACATCCGCGTGGAGCTGTCGCAGGCCAGCACGGTAACGGGCTGCCCCTCCGCTTCGCTCCCTGGCTGGGGGACTCTCCCCAACCCGCCGCGATCTCTTTTCTCCCTCCTGTAAAGAAAAAAAAAAAAAGGGAAATCCCCTCAGCTGGCTGGGGTCTCAGACAAGCCAAAGTCCCTCACTGGGGACAATGGAAATTAACCCTCTTGGTGCTGAGCTGGCACATGTGCCCAGAGTCATCTCCTGCTTTCGCCTCTGGGCACTCCCACGGGCACAGCCCGGCTGGGGCACGGCAGAGCTGGTGCCCCCCAACTGCCAGCCCCTCCGTGGCTCAGGGTGGGTTGTGTTGGGTGCAGCACCCTTGCGCTTTCCTGGGTGCTCCCATGCTGTGCTGGCTGGGGCTGCTGCCAGCCAGGGGGGGGAAACCTAAAGACCCCCTAATCCCCCCCCACCTTTCCCCCTCCAGGCCTTGGCGAACAGCACCGCCGAGTATGAGAGCCTGGAGAGCGAGGTGTCCGCCCTGCACGACGACCTCTGGGAGCAACTGAACCTGGATATCCAGGTGAGCAGGACCCCGCCGGCCCCAGGGTCCCCCGGCCATCCCCAGGGTCCCCCCACTGACCTCGCGGAGGTGGAAACCCCCTGGTTCCTTCAGCCTTCTGCTCCCCACAAATTGCTGGTTTGCAAGTGGCTGCTCCATGCTCAAGCCGTTTGATGCCCGGCTGCGGCCACGGGCAAGGGCAGAGGGGCTGAGGAGCTGTGGGCACCTGGGTGCTATGGAGGGGCTGCAGCCCAGTGCTCCCCAGGCTGCTGGGGCTCCGTCAGCTCCCCCCAGCCCATGGCCGGTGTCCAGGGGAGCGGAACGATGGCTCTGGGCAGGAGACAAGTCGTGGGTGTGATGGCTCAGATCCCCCCGGGCTCTGTCTGCCTCAGCTGAACGCCCAAACGCCCACAGGTGCCATGGCTCGGCTCAGGGCTGGGGTGCAGCGATGGGGAGCCACTCTGACCGCTGCCTTTTCTCCCCTCCAGAATGAAATGCTCAACCGGCAGATCCAGAAGGAGATCTGGCGGATCCAGGACGTGATGGAGGGGCTGAGGAAGAACAACCCGTCCCGCGGCACGGACACTGCCAAGCACCGAGGTGAGCAGGGTCTGTCCCTGCCCTCTCACAGCACAAACCCCGGCGTGCTGTGACTTGGGGACATCCCCAGTGCCTGTGCTGCCATGGGAGAGACAGCAGCACCCTCTCGGAGAGGCAGAGGCTCTGGTGCACGCACTTATTTCTGCTTTTCTCCACAGTGGCCATCGGCCCCTCGGGGACGTACAGCTCCAACAGCCCCGCCAGCCCCCTGAGCTCCGCCAGCCTCACCAGCCCCCTCAGCCCTTTCTCCCTCGTCTCCGGCTCCCAGGGCTCACCCACCAAGCCAGGACCCAGCGAGGTGAGTGAGCCGGGGTGTCCCCAGGGAGCCCTTTGCCACCATCAGGTGCCCATCCTGGCTCGCAGGCTGGCCTGTGCCCTCACTCTCAGGGGACGGGTGGGCTCCAGGCACAGCGTTTCCTCATGGCTCTGCCTGGGGACACCGTTTTGGCCACGTCCGTGGGCTGTGCTGTCCCTTGGTGACATCTGGGTCCGTCGTCCTTGCAGGGGCTGCAGCTGGGCTTTGCTGCTTTGGGCTCCTGCATCAAGCAGCCCTGAAGGCTCAGCTCCAGCCTTTGGCTTCAGGACCAGCTCCTACTGCCACCTCAGTCCCCGCTCACTGCTCTTGCTTGGGGTCCGAGCAGTGCTGGTCTCATCTTCGTCCATGCGAAATTTAGGGTGGAATCTGGGGACTCCCCAACCCCACCTGGCTGCACAGAGGTGATGCCAATGTCTCCTGGGGGCTGCCAGCCTCCAGCTCAGGAGCCCCCCAGCTTAGGCAGCCCCTGAGCCCTGCCTGACCCCGCTGCCCTGGGGACATGAAGCAGCGGGGGAATGAGAAGCACTGTCCCCCTCTTCCTGGGGACACAGAGACCGTGGAGCCCTGGGGAGCGGCGGCCGGCTGCTCTCCCTCCTCCTTTCCTTGTCTCGACGCTTCCACTGTGTGTTGTCTCGATCTTTTTCTAATTGTCTCTTCCTTCCCGGCTCTCAGTGTCTCTGCTCTCATGCCTCACGCTCCTCTCCACCCCAGGAACCAGGCCCGCCTCGACCTCCCCTCCCCAAGTCCTACGTACCCCTGGAGTCTCCTCCGACCGTTCCTCCGCTCCCCGGCGAGAGCCGGCTCTGGCCGTACCCCACCTCCCCTTCCTGGCAGCAAGGCGGCGAGGCGAAGAGGGGACAGGTACCAAAACCTCTCCAGAGCAGCCCTGAAGGAGCGGCCCCCTCCTCTTCCTCCCCGAGACATCAACTGGCAGGGGCTGGGATGAGGCAGGCGATGGGGCTGCCCACTCTCTGCCCTGCCAGGTGGGACAGGGACAAGGTGGAGGTGGCATTTGGCGAGGGGACAGCAGTGCGTGGCTGGTACCTGCCCTCTCCAAGGAGAGCAATGGGCAATGTCCCCCCCGGCAGCCTCGCCGTGGCCCTCCTGTCCCCACAGGTCCCCTGCACCCACATGCAGCACCCACTGCGCTTGCTCAGGACAGGGACTGGCTCCTCCTGGGCAGCCCCCGAAGCTGTTGCAGCCCCCTGAATCAGCCCCTCTGCTTTCCTCTCTCCTCGCCTCTCTCACTGTCCTTCCACAGCGCTTCTCCCCGCCGTGCAGTACTTGGCAAGCTCTGCCCATGGGGGTGACCTGACCCCCACCTCAAAATCCTGCCCACCCAGGGCAAACCTGGCTTGGGGGAATCCTGGTAATGCCTTGGCCGTGCTCCTGCCAGGGGGAAGGGGCCGGGTTTGGACACCAGGAGACAGCAGCATCCTTGCAGTGGGGGGGTCAGGATGCGTGCACGTGGGGGCTGACACCACGAAGCAGCGGCCACGCTGAGCTGGGAAGGGTTATGGACCCCGCTGCGAGCCCAGGTGGCTTCTGCGGCTGCAGGGTAGCACGGTCGTGGCTGCATGCTGGGGTGTAGGGGGTGTCAGGATTCCTGATCTCCATGAAGAGCACAGAGCAGTTGAGGGGGACATGTTGGGCTCCTCAGCTTGTTGCCGTACCCCTCCATTGCACCAGCACCATCACACCAGTGCCTGGGCCCTGGCAGGCCATGCCCAGGGGATGCAGGAAGGGAAGGACCCCGAAAATAGCCCTTAGCTCGCTCTCTGCTGCTGCACAGTGTCTGCCCTGACGTCTGCCCCCCGTGGGACCCTGACCCTTCCCACAGGATCTTGCTGGAGCTCAGCAAAAAGCCAGGGTGTCCCTGTCCTGGAGCTCCCAGGTGCCACCTCCGAGCCGTGACAGGATCGTCACCCCTGCAGGAAGCTTTTCCCACGCAGGAGCCTGTCCTGCGGGGACAGCGATCGGTGCCCAGCCCCGACAGGCTGGGGCATGGTGGGGCCGAGAGCTGCAGAGCCCTGCCAGCCCCTCTTCCCCGCACTTTTGGGGTGTGTTGGTACTGCCTGGCTGAGGTCCGTGTGTCCGTCCGCTCCTGGGAGTGTGTCTGCAGGCTGTATGTCACCCCATGGCTGTGGAGAGCAAGGGGTCTGTCCCCAGGCAGAGCATGTTCCCCACGCAGGACAGGGTCTCACCGGGGACCTGCTTCCTTCCCGCAGCCCAAGCCAAGCTTCGAGCAGAGCAAAAAAGAGGCGCAGCGACCGGCCCCCCCCGGGCCCCCCACCGAGGGGCTCCTGCAGAGCCGGCAGGAGCAAGAGGCGGAGAAGCAAGCAGCTCTCAACAAGGGTACGGCAGGGTTGGGGGGGTCCCGCTCCAGTGGGCTCCCCGTGCTTGCCAGGAGCACTCAGCATCTTGCTGGGACCCTGCCCTTGGTCCCTGGCGAGGGGGGGGCGGGTTCAGCCTGGTGTTTCGCTTTGCTCCGCAGTGGGCATCGTCCCCCCCAGGACCAAATCTCCAGCGGAGGAGGTGTTGCCTGCGGCCGGCGTGGCAAGGAGGAGTACTGGCGGCATGGCCAACGGGCTCAGCTCGCGGGTAGGGCTTGTGTTGAGGGGCTGGGGGCCAGGCTAGCAAAGTGGGGGCTGTATCACAGCCTGGGGGGGGGGCTGGGGCAGCGCATAGGGGAGCCCATCCCTGCATGGCTCCACATCTCAGCATCCAGCTCAAGCCCCTCCCCGGGTTATTTCGGCGCCTTCCCCCCACCCTGGGAGCGGGCTGAGCGGCCCCATCCCAGCGGGTTGCGGCACTGGGTGGATGGAGCCGGATCCTGCTGCAGGTAGGGGTGCCTGACCTTGGGGCTGGGCTTCCCCCCCCCCCCCAGGAGAGGCCGAAGAGCGCCGTGTTCGCCAACGAGACGAAGGTGAAGATGAGTGTGGAGGAGCAGATCGACCGCATGAAGCGCCACCAGAGCGGCTCGATGAAGGAGAAGCGGCGCAGCCTGCAGCTCCCCGGCAGCCAGCAGCCCGAGACCCCCGGCGCGAAGGCACCCACCTCCTACAAGGTGGTGAGTCCCCGCACCGGCCACGGGGCTGGAGCAAACCGGCCTTTGCTTTGCAGAGTGCCTGAGGTCTCTGACAGAGGAGAATGAGGGGGGGCTGGGGGCTGGGGAAAGGGGGTGGGTGCTAAGGCAAGGGACGAGGGTGCCATCTCAGGGGGGCTCAGTGAGTCTGGGGTCCCTTGCAGGTGCGCCGGCACCGCAGCATCCATGAGGTGGATATCTCCGACCTGGAGGCAGCCCTGCGTTCCGACGACCCCGGCAAAGTCTACGAGACGCCCCAGGAAGAAATCGCCCGGCTGCGCAAGATGGAGCTGGAGCCGCAGCACTATGACGTGGACATCAACAAGGAGGTGAGGACGGGCTGCCCTTGGGGGCCCTCCGCACCCTGTGCTTTTGGGGGGGATGTCAATCCATCCTCCTGTGTCGGTCAGCATCCTGGAGCCACTGGCCGTGCCCAGGCGGGTGCTGGGAGCTGGGGGTGAGTGGGGTGGGCGGGTGCTGGAGTGGGGCTGGGTCCCTGGTGCTCGGCTCAGCCCTCGCCACCGTGCCCAGCTCTCCACGCCGGACAAAGTCCTCATCCCTGAGCGGTACGTCGAACTGGAGCCCGACACACCGCTCAGCCCCGAGGAGATGAAGGAGAAGCAGAAGAAGGTGGAAAGGATCAAGACCCTCATTGCCAAATCCAGGTGAGGCTGCTGTGGCCACGCCGGCCATCCCGAGGTGCACCCCCCACGCACCCATCCCCACCGGGGTCTGTCCCGTTGAGGCCGGGCGTGGGTGCTGATGCCGGGTGCTCTGCGCAGCCTGCAGAACGTCATCCCCCTGGGCGAGGGGGAGGTGGACACCCCCCAGGACCCCGAGACCCAGTTGCAGGAGCAGGAGAAGAGGATCGAGATCTCGTGTGCTCTGGCTGCTGAGGCCTCTCGCCGGGGCCGCATGCTCTCGGGTAAGTCACGGGGGTGGGGGGCACGGAGGGTCGGAGCCTGCCAACCCACCCCCCAGCCCAGAGAGCAGACCACAGGTAGCGTTACGTGCCGTGAGGGCAGATCGGATGCAGGACTGGTTTATGGGCTGCACAGGCAGCGAGAGCAAGGGGGTTGATGCAGGCTGCATCGGTCCTGGGGCAGAGCATCCCCGTGCCGTGGGAGAACCAGATGCCGGGACCCTGCCCGCCGTGCCCGGGGCTGCCTCCCCCCTTGGCAGGGCTCGGCCTCGTGGGCTGGAGCCGGGCGCAGGTTTCGGCACCTCGGGGTGCAGGACGGGAGCGCCTGGCCGCGTGGCACGCCGTGCCTTGTCCATGAGGAGCCCTGCGGGGAGCTCACGTGTGCGCGCCGCGGCCGGGCGCCGCTGTGGCTGTGTGTCCTGACCACGCTTGCTTCCTCCCTTCCTTCCTCTCCGTTTCCTCCCCTCCGCTAACCTCTCACTGGGTCGCCTCCTTCCCCTCGCCGCTGCCGGCAGCTTGTGTTCTTCACGCCCTTCTCCCATTTCTTGTTTCCAGCTCAATGCGCTACCCCAAGCCCTCCCACCTCCCCAGCCTCCCCGACTCCACCGACCAACCCCCTCTCGTCTGAAATATCCCGGGTCGCCGACAACAGCCATTTTATGCGTGTCTGAGCCATGAAGTAAGCACCTCTTCTCTCGTACTTCATCCCATCCTCTCTCCATTCCGGGGGGCCGGGCGGGGGGTGCCTGTTCTGTGCCCGGCATCCGTCCATCGCTGCTTGCTCCAGCTAATGTCTCCCGAGCCACGTCAGCCCCATCTCCTCTCATGGACCAAGTGCAAGTGTCCTCCAAGGCGAAACCCCCCCCGGCTGGGTCAGCCGGGGACCCCAGCGTGGGTAGGGGGGGCCCATCCAGCGATAAAAAGTGGGGTGAGATCTCAGGGCCAGGCTCTGGGGGATGCCTGCCCTGGCACGGCTGCATTGGTGGCTGCAAAGTGGGGGGACGCAGTGTCCCTCTGCTCAGTTGGAGGTGTGTGTCGTCCCCCCCCCCGCCCCGGGGAGCTGGGGGCATAGGGCTCAATCTGTGCTAGGTTTTCCTCCAAGCAGGGCAGGAGGGGTCTGTCGGGTGGGCACAGGGGCTGCCCCACAGCCGGCCGCCCCCCCACACCTCGCTCAGCCCCGCTCTCCTCTCCCTCCAGCTCAAGCCCTGGCTGCTGCCGGCGCCACCAAGTTCCACGGGGCCACGTTTTAGCACCCCGACGCGACACCGAACCTCTCGCCATCATTTTCGGTTCTCCTGGACCCCCCCCCCCATTTCCCTCCCACCGACGGCGAGACCACCCGGCACGGCCGAGCGGGGAGATGCGTCGCCGACAACACCAACCGCTCTGCCCCGTCCCGGAGGAGACGTGCGGGTGCTGGGTGGGGGGGTTTCCACCGGAGTGTGGTCCCCGAGGAGCCCCTGGGCTGCCAGCTAGCATGGGGACAGATCCACAGTGTCCTGGGCATCAGGCCTGCGTGGACGACCAGACAGGGGCATCTGCAGCAGCGGCAGCCGGCACAGCGGCCACCCCCCTGCCAGGGCATCCCTGGGGGGAGCGCAGGACCCCCCCGCCCCGGGTTCCTCACGCTGATGCGTTGGTCTCCCAAAGGTCTGTGAAGGGGCTCTTCTGGGTGGAGATCAGCCAGTTCCCACCACGGATGGTGCTTCCACCTTGCACTGGACCTGGGGATGCTCCGTCTCTGCCCCTCGGGCGCCTCTTCTCCTCCCTGTGCCCTGAACCCGCTTTTAGCATCCGTCTGGCTGGGGGTAGTTGCCGGCAGAGCCTGGTCTGTCCCGTCGCTCCTCGCGCTGGTGGCTCAGCGGGGAGGAAGAAGGAGCCGTGTTGGGAACAGGACGGATGGAGGTGGGACTTGGCGGGGGGGGGGGGTGGAGAATGGGGGGGTGTGACGGGACATAGGGGTGCTGTGCTCGGGGTCAGGGTGGTGCAAGGGCTGCCCGGGGCACCGGTGCGCCGCTGGCACGGAGCAGGAGGTCTGGGCAGGGACGTTGCACGGGAGCTAGGGAGCGGTGCGGGGAGCTGGGGTGCGAGGTGGGACAGCGAAGCCACGGGCTCGGCAGGGGATCCCTCTGCGGTGGGTGGGGACGGTGACGAGAAGGGGAAGGGGCTTGGGGCCAGGAGGCAGCAGCGGGGCTCGTCCTCGGTGTGGGGAGCTGCCCCCCCCCCACCCCTTCATCACCCCTGTCTCGACCCCTTTGAAAATCTGGCATCGCGTCTCACCTCAAGACCTTGCCATTGCACTCCAGACCCTGCGATTTGTTTTGTTTTCTTTTCTTTTCTTTTCTTTTCTTTCCTGTAAGTTTACCCTTTACTTTAGTTATCTGGAGGGAGAAAAAAAGCTGGTTCTGCCCGGAAAAACAGAATCCCACGCGAGGTTGTGAGGTTGGCAGGGCTGCCCCGACAGGGCTGGGGCGGGCAGGGCGGGTGGAGCGAGGAGCTAGATACTGTCCCTCCTGCAGCTGTGTCCCTACGGGCCTCATCCTGACACCCACCAGGACCCCTGCCCCGCGCTCCCCCCTCTGTGTCCCCATCGCCCCCCGTGCGCCCCATCGTAGCAATACTGGTAGGATCCCAGGAGCCCCGAGTCCTCCCGCAGCCCCCTTTAGCTCATAAAGCTGGCCCTTTATTTTGCTATTACATGCCTTAATATATGTTTTATGGAAATTATACATTTATAATATATATCTATATTTGTTTTTCTCTTCTTTTCTGGGAGGTACTGTTTTGTGCTAAGCTCTCTCTCCGCAGGGTTGTTGGCACCAGCCCTGCCAATGAGTTACAAAAGCAGATTCTTTGCCAATTTATCAGAAAAAAAAAAGAAAAAGAAAAAAAAAAAAAAGAAAAAACCTATTTAAAATATATATATTTTTTCTGCTTTTATTAAAAGCAAATTTATTTAAAATAAAATATAAAGAGACTGTAAGTTTGAAGAGATGACGCGTTTATTTCCCTGTCCCTGAGCGCAGTGGCGGGGCGGCCGGGGCGGGCTCCCCAGCTCGTGTAACCGGGGCAGACCCCCCCTTACACCGGCTGCGGGGACACCGCCGGGGGCCGCGGCGCACGGCTGTGGCCCACGCAGAGGCTGTGCTGCCCGGCGAGGAGCCGAGGGGACACGCAGACCCCATAGGCAGCAATTCCTCCCTTCCCTGGGGACCGGAGGGGACGAGGAGCGTCCCGGTGCTCCCGTCCCCGGGGTGCCCGGAGCCGTGCCGCGGTAGCCGGGTCTGAGCCTTCCCCAAGCTGTGAGCACAGCCCGGTGCACCAGGACCCCGCAGCTGCCCTATTGTGGAACCCGGTGGTCATTATTTTTATTTTTTTTTTTTTAAACAAACAAACAAACAAACTTAATTCTTAATTTTATTTTGGTTATTATTTTTCATAACACTTCATATACCAGTGACTTGTAACCGAGAAAGGATTTGCATTGGGAGGAAATCTATTTATGCACTGGGGAGGGTGGGAAGGGAGGTGTTTGTTTTCTGGGTTTTTTGCTAGTGTTAGAGAAATAAAAGTATCTAAGAAACAACAAGGTGTCAGTGTCTTTTGTCTAGAGGTAACCTCAGATGACAATTTTAATATTAGACCAAAGAGATGGATGAGTGGCTACAGCATCTCATCTGGCGAGGAAGGGTCTCACCTTGCCCATAGCTCACGTGGTGGCACCTTTGCCCTGTTTTGGGGGGTCAATTTTCCCAGTAAACTTTATTTTAGCTGTAGCTGCTTAGTAGCCAGCTCTGATAGAGGAATAAAAAAATGTGTTTGTACCTGGCAAGTTTGTATAAAACCACGGAATAGAAGCGGCTGGTTTGTAAAAATGTGGAGCTGGTCCCTGTGGGCTTTCTTGAGGGACAGGGGTGCAGAGGTCCCTGTGGGGAGGCTTGGGGGTGGCTCGTGCCATGCAGGGACCCTGCATCGGCCCCAGCCAGCGGGTCTGGCCAAGGCATCGGCCCTACACCAGGCAGCAAACCCCCGGGGGCTGGGGCAAAGCGGGTGCCAGCACTCCCCTGTCCCACGGGACAGCCTGGCTGTGAGCTGGGACCGTCCCTGCCCCGCGCCACGCACGGGTGACGATGCCACAGGGAGCTGGGCGCGCTCACGGAGCCACTCCAGACTACCCTAAGGGACACCGCAGCCACGTCCATCCCACTATTTTGGGAACTGCTGCAAGCCATCCCTTCCCAGGGAGGACACACAGGCAGGACAGGACCAGGCAGGGACCTGTGGCCACCAACCCCTCTATATGTCACCCTGCAGCGATGCCTGGCCACCGCATCCCCTCCCCGAAGGAGGTGGTGCTGCCACGGGGGCAGGCGCTGCCAGGCTGTTAATGATTTGCAGGATGACGTGGGGACTAAAGGCCTTTCCAAGGGTCACTGCCAGGGAGGCACGTGGAAGGGTGGCCGCCCTCGCCCACCCTCGCCCAGCCCCGCCGCCGGCAAGATGGTGTCTCTGACCGACTTCCAGCGTAAGCGGGCGGGCGTGGGGTGGCCGTGTCCCGCTGGCGATGCCCATCCCCGTGGGAGCAGGGACCACGGGGGGGGATGCTCCGCAGCACCGAGCCAGGGCTGGAAGCTGCTGGCCGGGGTTGGCAGGGCAGGGAGAGGCAGTGGGGGGATGCGGTGGGGACCCAGTTGGGATACGGGGACCAGCACTGGGGTCCTGCAGAGCCAGGGGGGGTTGCCTTCACCCTCTGCCCCGCGTCTGCATCGGGAACAGCAACTGGGGAGGTGCCGGGCTCGCCCGGAGAGCATCGCCAGCCTCGCCCACCGGCCGCCAGCACCGACACCCTTCATGCCACTGTTTAGAAAAATGCTGGAGACAACCTTCCCATTTATTTTTCCTTTGTGGTTTATTCTTTCTCTGGCAGCCCAGAGGAGTTTCCAGACTGCCCATCAGCCTCCCCAAGTTTTAGGCAGGTGAAAAGGCTGTTTCTAAGCTTTGGAGATAAATGAAAAGCTCATTTTGGAGAGGGAATGGTCCAGGGAGGTGCTGAGGAGAGCAACCGCAGCCCAAGGTGGGACCTGAGCTGCGTGCCCGAACACCCATCTCAGCCCTCCTGCCATCCTCCACAGGGATCGGCGTGGGACTGGTCAGCTTCGGTCTCTTCTTCGTCCTTTTTGGGATGCTCTTGTATTTTGACTCAGTGCTCCTGGCCTTTGGGAATGTGAGTACTGGGGGGCCGGGGCTCCCCACAGCAGGCGCTGATGCCCAGGATGGAGAAGAGTCCAGCTGGGTAGGACTCCTTTGACCTGCTCCCCTTCATCATCCCAGATTCTCTTCCTCTCTGGTTTGGTCTTCATCATCGGCTTCAGGAGGACCTTCACCTTCTTCTTCCAGCGGCCAAAGCTGAAGGGCACCAGCTTCTTCATCGGGGGAGTCCTCATCGTCCTTATGCGGTGGCCCCTCCTGGGCATGCTGCTGGAGGCTTACGGCTTCATCACCCTATTCAGGTCCTTCCCGCAGCACCCAGCTCCCCGGCCTGGCATGGGTGCCCGGGGATGGAGAGTGGGAGCCGGGCGAGCCTCATGCCCTGCAGCCCCAGGCAGAGCCCCTGCTGCTCCCATCCCAGCAAAAACCTGGCACGGGGGCTTAACAGGGACTTTTGTTTTGATACAGGAGTTTTTTCCCAGTGGCTTTTGGGTTTTTGGGCTCAATGACAAACATCCCAGTGCTGAGCAAGGTGAGCAGGGCGCTGAGCACAGTTCACTGGTGTGACCCTTGGGGTTTGCAGTCCTTGGGTGATCCCAATTCCAATCACCGTGGTTGGGACCAGACAGGGAAGGTGACCCCGGTCTCTCCACAGCCCCCCTCGAGGAGGCTCTGGAGGATTTTCACGCTAATCAAGATCTGTCCCTGTTGCAGCTACTGCAGAAGGTGGGAGACAGCAGCTCCATGGTGTGACCTGCGAGACGGGCCACATCGCTGGAGATGAAATGGCACGGTCTAGCCCTGGGTCTGGCTCTCCCATGGTGGGCTGCCACCTCCCTCGGCCCCGGGACCCTCGGTGCCAGCCAGAGCCACCCCCGCGGCAGGGACGGTGCCTCGCTGCCCCGTGGGGCTCCTGTCAGCAACTCCTGAGCGAGGCTCCAGGGACCAAACGCTGTGCCAGACAGGTTCCTGGAATTACTAGCCTTATTTTATTCTTTTTGTCTTCCTCTGTTGAAAGATCTGATTAAAAATTGTGTCAGAGACCAAACTCAGACTGTGCTCCTTTCCTGTGGCTCAGGGCTTGCTCCAGCTTTGGCACCTCTTAGTGTCACCAAGAGGCATCTTGGCCACAAATGGAAGTGGCAGAGGGACCTTCCCATGGCCACGGCTGGAGGTGACACAGGGACCTTCTCATAGCCAGGACTAGAGGTGACACACGGACCTTCCCATGGCCATGGACGGAGGTGACACAGGGACCTTCCCATGGCCAGGACTAGAGGTGACACAGGGACCTTCCCATGGCCACGGCTGGAGGTGACACAGGGACCTTCTCATGGCCAGGACTAGAGGTGACACAGGGACCTTCCCATGGCCACAGCTGGAGGTGACACGGACTCCTTCCCATGGCCACGAACGGAGGTGGCACAGGGACCTTCTGGTGGCCACGGCCCATGGCTGCCCTGGCCACCAGACCCAGCCAGCTCGGGCAGCCCTGGCTCGCAGGCAGTGGCTGTGGCCCTGCCTTCCCACGCGTCCCACGGGGATGTGGGCCGTGGGGAGCAGAGCCTGGGGAGCCACGGGAGAGGGCAGGGGAGGTTAGGAAAACACCCATTAAACCACATTAACATTTCATGACCTCATCGGAGTAGAGTAAATTACCCCGTTCAAATTCAGCAACCATGAAAAAGCAAATGACATCTGGGGTTATTAATTAATTGAGAGGTGCTGGGAGCAGGGGGGGCTGGAGCAAATCCATGGAGTTACACTGCTGATATCTCTGAGTATTATGGGCCAGGACTCGCATTTCCCATAGACCTGTTTCCTGTGGGATGAGACCAGGACGGAACAGAGCTGGACCCTCTGGCTGCTGCCCGGCAGGATGGAACTGGTGGGAGCTATGGCACTGGTGGGCACTGGGGCAGCTCTGCTGGGGTTTGAGCCAGGGGAACATCTCCAGCACCTGATGCCCACCCCAGCGCCAGCATGGGTGCTGGGGAGGGAGGCTGGCTGCCTACCCATGACCCAGACATCTGCACCGCTCCGGGGGAACCTGCTGAGATCCAGGACTTACACCACCTCAGAGAGGGATCCAGACCCACCACCAGCATCCAAAGCACCTTTTCATCTGCCGTACATCCTCACAGCCCCAGCACCTCTCCTGGGAGGGCGATGGGAAGCTCCTGTCTGCCAGCCTGTATCTGCAGGAACAAAAAGGGGCTGTTGTGGCCGGCTGCTGGGGACCCCATCGCATCATATCACCCACCCTGTCCCCTCTGTGTTCTCCCTACTGCTGATTTGGCTTCAAGAACTGTTCAGACCCAGGTTCATCAGATGCTTTTAAACCCTGCTCGAGGCAGGACCTGTGCTGCTGGGTGCTCTGGGGGCTGAGCATCCCTCAGTGCAAGGGGCTGGCTGTTCGCAGGGAGACCTTCATGGCAGGCAGGAATCTGAGGACAGCGCAGAGCTCTCCTAGCTTAACTTCAGATGATTTTAAAGGAGCTATTTTGTTCAGACTGCAGGAACTCCTCTCCCCAGGAGCGCAGCCAGCACTGCCGGAGAACTGGTTGGATAACTCAGCGGGTCTGCGTGATCAGAGACACAAACTAAATGGATGTGAGCCAGGTTTCTATGAGCACTTGGGAAGCAGGTTGCAAGCAGGAGCTTAATTAAACCAAGGCAATCACATCAAAGCTGGTCCCTGTGCAGATACCCTTCTTAACTTGCAAGAATTAATTAATGACTTTGCGTTAAACCTGTTCCCTCTTGATTGAAGCTCAGCCTGATTGAGCTGGTGGCTGTGCCTGTTGGCACTTAGCAGGTACTGCACCGGTGCCCGGGTTGGCAGTGGGTTTGCACCAGGTGAAAGCGGAGCTGGGAACAGCTCTGACTGCTCAGCTGATGGGGGGGTAACTCATTTGGGCACCCAAAACCCAGCCCCAGCAGCCCCGATGAGCCCTGGGTTACAGAGGATGAGCTCCCCAGCAGGTATAAATCAGGGCAGCCCCCCTGTTAACACTGGTTATAGTTGTTTTGTATCCCTGGGCGGTCTGGCTTAGGGGAAGCTGCTCCCTCACTGCTGATTTTTGAGGCAGGCTGCCTTCAGTTTGTGGTGCAGATTGCAGCTCTTGAGAAAGGGAAAAAAGAAGAGCTAGCAGCTTTCTGGCACCAGCTCGGCTATGGGCAGGAGGAAGGTACA